TGAAATGTCTCTACTCTTGGGTTACGATATCAATACCTACCTACTTAAAAAGCTAAAGTTGGCTCAGAATTGAAATGTTTGTGGTGATCCTGAACCCACGAGCCACGCGAAGATAAAACGACGAGAAATTAAAGTTTACGCGTGGTGCGTTTCAATTGTAGATTACAACTACAGAGATATATTGAAACAAAACAAAGAAAGTAAATTTCATTAGAGTATGCGTTAAACGAAATCGAAAAATACTTACCTAGGTAACAAATAGTAATACCTATTCTCTACGACTACGTCACAACATTGTGTACACTAACCTAACCTAATGTACCTACTTCGAATTAATATGACGTATCGGCGTAATACCTATAAATTTACTGTTGTTATTGTTTTTACAAATCGTGAATCGTCGATCCGTTGGACTGCAGCAGTTCTCAAACGGTTGTAAGCAGAATGGCGAGCGGTAGTAGTACAGAACATTAATTAATTAATGGGTACTTTTATTAATATTTATAAATGATCTGATATTATTTTTTTTTGTTTTTTGGGCACTAAATATATCGGTAAATGTGCCTAAATTATTATTGTCGATCTTTTATAAATTATAGTGCACATGAGTACATGACTACATGAGTGGTACTCCAAAAAAAAAAAGTTTCAGAATATCTGTGCTCTAGCCATGTAGTCGTTCGCTTATAAAATACTAATAATATAATCTCGTTCGAGCTCGGCGTGGGTGGGTGGGTATTTATTTAAAAAATAATATGCTAACCCTCGTACAGTATATAAATATTTTACGCTGTACTCAGGTACGTCGGATTCAAACATGTGCCTCGGCCGAACTAATTCCCATATTATCGTCGATATAGGTACTTTTTATAACTTATGATGCGGCGTAATGGGTTAGGTTGGCATATTATATAACCCCACTCGTCCTGTTCAGTGTATGACTAGTCCTGGTGTGTGTGTGTGTGTGTGTGTGTGTGTGTGTGTGTGTGTGTGTGTGTGTGTGTGTGTGTATGCTAAAGGCGTAGACACAGCTCAGCGTTTGATACTTGTTCGAAATTTCTCTTACACGTCTAAAACACGAAATAGTAAATTTGTTTGTACACATACGGTTTTACTCTATACGAGAACACTTTAGTATTTCAATAAATGCGGTAGAGTTCAAGTGCCCTTCAGACGGCGCTATTCACTCTTCAATGCATGTGTATAGTATATTATATTCATTTAATACGAACGTCTATTTTAAACTATTATTTGGAAAATAAAGTTTATCCGGTACGGTTGGGTTAGGTATATAAGCGTAGGTGGGTAAGTAGTGTTTGCCCGTTAACAGCCAGAGGAGCACTATAATACATAAATCATTATTGTGTTCTTGGGCGTTATTGTTTTTATTTTAATTCGACACAATGCACTGCGCATCGTTTCAGTTGATTTCTCTCTACAATGCCTGAATTCAGATCGGTAACAGTAGCAGCGATCATATAAACGCTATAATGAGAACGGTAAACTCGCTAAATTGATTAACATCGTCTTAAACAATTATTATGACATCGCGACAAATAGAATGCATCAACCGCCGTCGACTTTTTAATTTTTTTTTAGTATTATTAGTTACATTGTCGTGGGTCATTATTATCCGTACTACGATATAATAGTACGCATTGCTCTCGTTCGAATCACCAACTTTAATTCGCAATCTCTTAATTCCTAGAGGATATTTAATTCATTATGACATATTCATTATCCCACTTTGTGAAAGTTTAAATGCAGTCAAATTTAATTCCTCTATATTGCCCAACTTAATAATTATTAACCACCGCTACGGTAATATGATTGTAAAAGTTTAGTTGACAAAACACTATTCGTCCCTCACACTTGAATAAATGTATTAGAATTATTTTGAAGGACTGTTAATTAATATATATTATAATGTATTATTTTAATTTAACACCAACAGTACCATATTATATTATAATGAAACATTGCATCATGCTATTATTTAGATATTTGTAACTTTAATAATAGTACGAAAATTATATCGCATATTATTTTTTTATGATTTGATTTGTGCATATTTATTTATAGTTGGCTATTGGAGACTGTGTTTATAAATTAAATTTAAAAAAAAAATCAAAAATAATGTTAAGACATATCAGGCAAGTGCATCGGTATCATAATTGAATATAATGTCAAATATATCAATTAATAATAATTGCAATATACACACTGCAATATCGATTCATTGATTTTGATATACGTGAACATAATTTGAACAACGTAGATCAAGTATATGGGTGCAAAAAAAAAGTGAAAGTAAATAACAATAAATCTTATGAATGTTATGACTTATGACACAACATTAATATTATGTACCCGTCTATTGCATAATGTATATAAGATACAAACATACCTTATGTATTGTTTTCTTTGAACTTTAAGTAGATCAAAAATAAGATCTTGGTTATTAAATTGTACTGCAGAAACAGAATTCTATTAAGTTTAAATAAATTATGTTCTATAAGACTCTCGTGAGTAGTAACTTATGTCTTTAAACTTAAAACTTTAAAGTATATCATTTCTGAGAAACCATTATAATTTATTAGCGTTTACCAGTAACAAGAAGTTCACAATAAAATATATATTTAAAGGCTAACCTTGGTGAGGAGCGGCCGAATGCTCAATCTGCAGAAACTCTATGAGTGTACGTACCGGCCGACTAGCTCCCGGATGGGTGACCACCCGGGTTTTTAGCAACAAATACACAGACACGTGTTGCAATCCTATCAACATAAAAACCTACTAAACCTATACAAAAAACTGCCTACCCTACCAGTATACACCCAATGGCCTGTATTGCAGTGGGTTAAAAAAATTAAAATGTACATAATATATATTATGGTATTGGACAATAAAATATGCCTTACTCTACGACGAAAAACTGTCAAAAACGGTTTTTTTTATAAATTTGTTTACAAATTTTAGTGATTTTTAGTATTTTCAGTGCAAATACCCACTCTAACTAGTTATACAAAATCGTAATATTCTTTGAGTAAAAACAATTTTTATTCTCGGGGCGGTTGCTTATAAATTCTTCGAGGTACTTATTATTCAACCTATAACTTACATACTAAACGTAACCAATTAAGTAAGTTGTACTAATTTATCAGTGTTTCGAAATGTTTTATAACCTGAAAAAAGCATGCATAATTCTACGTCGTCATAATTTATAACGGATTTTCTATAATGTCGTTGTAACACTAAAAGTTATGAATTATGGCTGTGGTTTACTCGTGCTAATATATTTAAGTAACATTTCAAATAGTGTGACCAATACAGAACTTTATCGATGTACCCTACGAATAGACATAAAATTATACCTTTGTCATAATATTAGCTACATCGGAGTGCCGTTTTATTTATACTCGATTGTTTTTAATATTGATAAATATTTATGGCGTTATATATTTTACATTTTATAAACACCCACTCCATAGACTTATATCATTTTATAGCTTATAATATATTATATTGTGTGGATGGTATGAATGAGCGGCTGATTGGAAAAAGAGATTACAATAAACTGAAAATATAAAATATTGATTCAGACATAATATTGTACTATAATAATATATATTACACTAGTTTGAAATCATTTAATTTAACTTACTTAATATTATGTCTATTCACAGATGACAAATCCAATTTAAAAATTCGTTTTATGAATATTATAGTCTCTTGGATTCGTTATTAAATTATATAATATATAATATCGTCACGCGCAAAGTTATCAACTACCAGTGTATAGCAATACGCGATAGGCCATCATATCAGATATACAATGTAGCATAATACATGTAGATTAAGTCTGTGTTGGAAAAAACATAACAACCGATGATTATATTATCCGTATAATATAAATTCGAAAATTCAAATAAATATACATTATACATATATTTATTGAATTTTTCAACGCATATAATATTATACGGGTCAATATAATTTAATAATAATAATTTATAAGCCCAATGAATAGTTCAGCTGATAATTTAAACAAAGGCCCGTAAAAAATGTATTATTTAGAATTAGCAACTTTTAGAAGTTCATAATAATGGAGGTAAAGAAAAACTATTGTCTATAATTTTACAGGACTCGTAAGTTGGTGAATTTTCATCTCAATATTTTCAATTTATATTGAATGCTATGGGTAACATAGAAATCCATTTCGAGATAACAGGATTCAAAGTATTATTCAATTTTATTTTGCATAATTAGAGATTTTCGGCATATTTAGCATATTTTGGTATGATCATAGACTTATTTACATTTAAATTGTTATAAATCGTTGTTAACACATTAGTTTTAATATAGGTAGTTACATTTGAAAACATTGAAATACTATCTAGGTAGGAACGCTTTAAAAATATAATCAATACCTACGTAGCCGGTCGAATTATTAAAAATAAGACATTAAAAATAAATAATGTTTGATCTGTTAATTCCAAACGAACGCATGAACAAAAAAATTATTTATTAAAACGAGTAAAAAAATGTTAATAAATTTAAAAATGTAATTGAAATAATATTTATGAGTTTTTACTGCGTAACATTAAAAGTTTTTTTACAGCAAATTTAAGTGCATATTTGAGCATTTTTAGGAGCATAGTTGCTTACATATTATTATTCAAGCGTTTTAAGTACACGAACTTACAGGCGAGTCATGATGATTACATTTTTAATTATGCACTATGATTAATTCACCTAATTAGTTTTATCACAGTAAAACTGAATGTTTCATTTTAACATGGTCAGGAGAATCCTTTAGATCCTGCCTACTGATACATGCAATATTAATGTGAGCATATCTATATTTATTTAAATATCGTATCGGTTTTACCTAATGTAATAAATTATTGTGCAGACATTGTAACCATCGGCGCTATACCATCTATAAATGTTTTTTTTTCCCGAAACTGACTGAAGTAAGTCGGGTTCGGTTTACGTACCCATTTATCGTTTAAGTACCACGTGACGTTGGACGGTGGACTGGATGGCGGTGACGTGCAGTTGCCTTTCAACGTGTCTCCGATGGTGTAGTGCCGTTTCTCCAGCGACAGCACGGGTTGTCCGACAGGTGGGTCTGAAAAGTGACATGTCGCACACATTAAAGTCGTGATTATTATGGCAACAGTCGAGTTACCTAAGCATAACACTTTAATATGTAATATGATAGAATAATAATTGATTATCCGTGTCGGCACTCACAAGGGAACGTATACTCGTAACGAAATAAATTATGATTTTATATAATTTTATATTAAGCCGTGTACATCGCAAAACAATCATTCGAGTCCATTATAGATTATGCTGATGACACTTTGAGTAGATATTTTATAGCATCATAGCTAGGGTGGTCATACTTCATTTTTTGATAACGCAGATCTGCCGAGGGTAATAGATAATATATTTATCATTTAATTTTGGAGGTCTACCTACCATGTATGTCGGTGTGTTATTATAATATTACGTCTTGGTAAATATTTTAGTAGGTACTCATTATTGTATTTTTTAGGCGTTTAAAAATTTAAAATACAAACTTCTTTTAAAGAGTATTTTTGATACATGATATTTTTCATTTTCCACTGAAACTAAACAATTTTTTCCCTCAGAAATGGTTTACTACCAACGACGAATATTGCATAGCGACTAAATAGTGTATAGATATAATTAGATATATTATGTACAATAAGAGTATGCGATAAAGGGCAAAAAACATAAATTTGAGTTACACGAGCCACCCGTTAGTGACACTTAGCGAAAGATTTATTTTATACCGTTATTTTTTTTATTCCTTTTATATTATGGTATATTATAGCTTATAAGTGAAAAAATATAACTCTTATATGGTTTCCACGGAATAATTGTTCAGGAGGCTTTACTTATATTATTGTAGTACAAAAAAAAAAAAAACTATAACAATAAGTAAAAAATAAAAATAATATTATTTAAACAAATATTATGCAACTTAGAATATTATACTCCCACGATTTTTGTACTTGTAAAATATACATTAAACAAATAACCGAACGTTAGAATAAAGAATTAAAATAAAAAATAAATAAAAACAATATCAAGTATTTGAAAATATTTGAAATGCTTATTGAATAGATTTGTACTGAAATACTTATGGGATAATGTGTCTAAATAAGTAATTAAAAATTGTACGTATAAAAAATATTTCTTACAAATAGTATGAGCACTGATGAGTGTATAAAAAGTAAACGCGATAATAACAATAGGCCATACAATTATTTTTCGAATAGAATATATTTTAGTAAAGTAGGTACACTTTTAAGTTGCAAAATCAGAATTAAATAAAATATTATTGGACATCGAACGAAAAATGGGGTTCACCACGCGTGGTGAATCGTCCTGTGTATATTATATTATTAAATACCATAGTTTTTCTCGCGCTACAATAATTATACAACAGCTGTACAACGCATGACGCGTATATTATACACATAATACCAAAATAGCATACCGTAGTCGTTATAATAATTGTTATTGTTCGCGATGTGACTAGGTTTCACCTCATACGCAGTGTCATAGGCACATGTCTGGATCAACCGAGGGGTTGTAAACACCTATGCAAATAATATAATATATATAATAATGTTATATAGACCGCATTATTGTTGTATCCGTTGTTGTCATCGTCATGTCCTGTCGTTCGGTCGACCTCAGAGTGGTAGATTTACGTTTGTGGATCGTGACGCGGGTCAATCGTACATATTTTATAATACGCGTATCGCCGGCGACGGGTTAAAAAATCAGTTTTTCGATCTCCATCCCCACATGCGATTCCACGTGCTTTGTTTGCATAAAATAAACAAAAACATTCCTTTTCCAAAAACTCTACAACACTGTACCTATATGTATATTATATTTTATGTAGGTCAATATTTCATTATTGTATATATAATATTATTATAATATACAGCCAGAAACGAAATATAAGTGTGACCGACTGTATATTATTGTAATATAATATAAAATAATAATATGCGCATAACATAATAATATTATATCCTACGAAAATATTATTATGCTCGTTTCTATTTCGTTCGAGTAAAATCTATACCATAAAGGTAGCACTACAAGAATAATATTTCATTAATTTAAATGTTGTTTTAAAAAGTTATCACAACACTATAGGTACTCGGGGGGTATTCAAAAACGTAACTCCAGTGCCTTCATTCGTTTTAAAAATAACAGATAATATTTTTTAGTATTTTTCCTGGAAGTGTCGAGTTAACAATGGGAATTCGAGATAAACAACTAAAACCCATAATATAATAAAATGAAAACCGTAGTAAATAAAATATGCAACCGAAATAATTAAACCTCCTATTTTATATATTTTGTGAATTAAACTAATAAATGATTGTATCCTTCGATTGTCTTCCGGAGTATACGAGTTTCATTAGGATTTTTGAATTGGTTTGCTGCATTTGCACGCCAAATTCTCTCCTAATAATTAATGGTCCGTAATTTGATCGAACACTTAAAAACTAGCCTTCTAGGTATAAAATAGTTAAACAGTAAGTACCTACCAACTAACCTACAAATAAAAACAACATTTTCAAAATATATTGTTAAAATATAGAAAAACAAAATGAAAATATTTTATTTTATTCATCAGAATGTTTTAAAATATTGTGAAAACATATGGAAAACATTTTTTGGCAGGAGAAACAACGTTTCACAATATTTTATTTCGTTTTATTGTATTATTGATTAATGAATATATAGATATTTATAATATATACCTTTACTTAACGAGTGTGTACCGCTTAAAAGTTACACGGTACTACTCGATAATTTAATAACAATAATTATTAATAAGTAATGACTTATAAGTTATATAATACTAGTATATCTAGTTGTTGAGTTTAGTAATTATAGTTGAGTTATTGTTAATTTGATATAAGTTTTAAAAAAATGATATAAACACAATTGTTGTCCGTTTCAAGGAAATAGTAAGTATTGAATGTAAAAATATAAAAACGATATAGGTAATAGAAAATATACGAACCTACTCAGTATAATACTTACAGCAACTTAATTTTTATTAAATAAACATTTTTTTTTTTTACTATTACATAACTTTGCTCAAACAAAGTTACGCGTTAAATTATTTTCTATCAAACGAATTTTTCTATGGTAGAGAATTTTTTTTTATTCGTGTACTCTGCGACTGAAGGCAAAAGAATGTGTAGTTTATTATAATTTAAACCAGAGAAAGTAAAAATATAAATTCATAACGCTAGGTGTTATATCCGTGTTTTTGAAAAAAAAGTATTATAAAAAAATTCCCAACGATTGGTAATATAATGGTAAATAATAATAATAAGTACGAAATGTGTTGTATTTACCGGAAGAGCACCTATAGAGACACACAAAGATATAAATGAATACAACTGAGTTTATGAAAATAAAAATATTTTTTTTCTGTAAGTAATATTATGTACCTATATTTCATTTCGCAAAATAGCAAAGCGCATCGATATTATTTTACATCGACATGATTAACTGAACTAGTTGTTTATTTAGCGGAAGTTTGACTTCACGGGGTGTGTATTTCTGAGAATGAATTGCGAATATTGAATGTTTTAAGTTTGAACATGGTTGTGTTCTAATTCATACGTATATTGTATTAACTATTAATATTGTGCTTTGAAAGTATTAACTCGACGTATTTAACTGTGTCAGAGGAACAAATAAATTATTCGAATGTCTGAGAAACCCCAACAGACGACCACAATAACATAATGTCAACTTACTATAATACAAAACCGGAAAAGTCGCTCTGTTGTATTTCAGTTGTAGGTGTCGGATACACCTCTTCATTATAAGTAGGTCATGACTGCAGTAATGCATGTGTTTGCAACATACCACTCCCCCTCATTCAAACCAAGTGACTTTTGTGATTTACACTCATTTATTTTTCCATTTCTATCAAATAAATGAGGGTACGTGGTTGGCTATTACCACTGCCCGAACCGGTTTCGTGAACCGAATTTTTTTACTCGAAAAAATAAAGTTTTCCATGTTGTATTTTACAGGTACAGGAAACCTCCGACCTGTGTTCAAACTAATACAATCAAACACGGTGTGGCATTGTGCATATTATAGATTAAACGCCTGAAATAGTAATAAAATAATACTTTACAACGTAGTACTGAGTACACGGCCTATCACCCGAGTAATCATCCGGTTCTCGATGATGGTATTGAAGATCACAGGACTAGCGGAGTACGTGCTATTGAACAATTCGATTAATGAATGCATGGTGGCGAGGTTAGGTTTTGCTTTGGAGGTTATTATGCCTATATTTGATCGATTTAAAATGAAATGTACAAATTGTATAGTTGACTGTCTATCGAATTCGAAGTACCAACCCTATAACTACTGTCTGTGTAAATAACAATATAATATGTACCTCGTACTCAACGTTCCTGTGTTCTGTTAACCTATGCAAATCCACAGAGTGTGACATAAATGACGATTCAGTTGTAATCTGTTAATGTTAAATTTGAATTCAAAGACAAATCATTGTACACGAAAACAATTCCGGGTAAAGGCTTATCTGTCAGCCTACATTGCAACTAAAGCTATTGTATAATAATATATATACCGCTTTGATAGTAATTTATTTTTCTGCTTGTAAATTAGGTAGGTAAGAGGCGACAATTTTCTTACAAATAACATTTTCGTAATTACAATAAAATAATATTTTTTCGAAATTCGAAATATGAACTCGAAAAGGATATACAAAGAAATTGAATGTTTGTATTTTTGAGATTTCTATGAAAACTGTTGTTTTATTATTATGAGTAACCTCGAACTAAAATTAAACTGATTAAAATTTAAAATGTTATGGATTTTAAAATACAATATAGTTCGTACATTTTCGTGACTGACGATTTTAAACTTTAAACAATTGTAAACAAGTTTTGACGATGTATTCAAAAATATTTAAATAGAACAAAAAAGCCAAAATATATTGATAATTGTATCATGACATCTATACAATTGTAACCCACAATTAGTATTTTATGAAAACTCAAGTCATTACTGAAATATATATTATTCTTAATTGAATATTACAACTGCGAGACAATATCAATTTGTTGAAAACTGATTTTGCATAAGATTTCCTGTTTTTTATTAATTTGGTTTTGCGTTCTCCGAGTACGGCAGGTAATATTTGAACTAGACCCGATTTTCTACAACACATGACATTTTAATATTTTCAGATTGATAATAGGCACCTTGAAAAAAAAATCCATCTCCTCATAGTTAAATCAATACATTCGTCGCTCTTTTCGGAATCCAAAAACAATGAAAAACCATGATTGGAAATTCTACAAAGATAAACAAAATCTAATTATACTGAACAAACAAGATGTATTGAATCCTAAGAATTGAAGTACACGCGTATTGGAACACAGAAAAAATAGAGATTATGAAATACATACATATATAAAATATAATAACATAACATAATATTGTATATAATTATATGTTTTCCAAATGCCCTAAGCGACATGTTATTATAAAAGTAATCATATTTATGCAGAATAAGATTAATATCATATACTTGCTTGTGAGTACAATGCTGCGGAAGTCGTCATAGCAATTTTACCGCATATTTGAGGACGATATTAAAATTTAAAATCTTATGCGTTTTCATCTCATATCCAAATATTAATCAAATTTCGTCCAAATACATATTATACTATTAAAAATGATTTATTTATTTTTTGTTTTGTTAGTGAATCAAGCTAGACTTGACTAAGAGTATTTTTTCTTTCTTTAAAAGTAAAAATTTAATAAAATCTATGATTAAAAGTGTACATAACATAAAGACGACCCGAATACATCGATTCGAACGTACCTAAGTGTATATACCGTTTGTAGCAAAAAACATTATTTTGTTAATAGTACGATATCTAAAACTGTTTATTATATATTTTTATTACTATTATTATTATTATTATTATTATTATTAGAACTGTATGCTTCGAGCAGTGAGAATGGTTTTTTCATTTTCTATCGGTCGGAAACCCGTCAAAGTTGTCGGGTAAAAGAGGCCGTCGCACGAGTAAACTACAAAACCAAGTATAAGTTTTCTCTCGGTATTCTTCTTTTTCTTTTTTCTGGTCTTGTTCGCGTTCTCCGTCTCCCGTCGTTTCGGTTTATTTGTTTTGGATCTTTGCCGGGTGTGAGATTGAACACGCGCGCTCACACACACACACACACACACACACACACACACAGACATTCACGACGACACGATGGTATTTTTGCGTGCCACGGCGACCCGGGATTAAAATTTACACGACGACGACGCGACTCGCGAAAAAAACACAGCTGTCACTAACGGCTCTTTCTTTCGGGTGGTTTTCGGGGCAAACAATATTATTGGCCCCCCCTCCCTCCCAACAGTCCGTCTCCAACGCACACAAACACACTCACACCCGCTCGCACAACAACAGCAACAACGCACATCCCTTACGTGGTCGTCCGGCTTAATTACTTTTATAGTCTTAATGGTCGGATTTGTGCGGATGGTCCTCAACCCACCAAAACACGAGCGCGAAAAAACTCGATAAATTCCACGTTATTAATAGACGTCACGACGGCCGCCCACGAAAGGGCACAATAATATTATACAGGGGCGGTTGGCAACGAGTGGTGAGAGTAGAACGAAAAAACTGTCTGTTTTAAGTAAAAATCGTCAAGCCACCACGCAGATTACGTTTTTACGTCAAACGCCAAGTCGTCGACGCTTTCGCTACCAGTTAGTAATTAAAATACATTATGATATTATAAAATAATAACCTACGTTGGCGTTCTCGCGTACTAATCTGTACAGTATAATAATCATTGTAGCACACTCGCAATAATTTGTTCGAATTATATACCCGCAGCTTCAGGTGGCAGCTGAGATGCAGACTCCGTAAGAGTATGAACTAAATCACTTATTTAATACCTTCAAAAGCGTATAATACGATAATGACGGAGGGCCGACGACTATTATTTTTATGAACGTCATCGTTAAGATTTATCCCGCTATATGATTTTGTTGTGGATAGTATACAGCAGTATGACATGCTGGTTATTGTAATATTGTATATTATTATTAGGCGTGACATCGTGGTAATATTCGTGATTTTGAAAACTTAATTTATGTACTGAACCATTGCAGTGTTGCAATCAGGGCCGTATTACCTCTTAGGCTGTGTAGGCTAAAGCCTAGGGTGGCAAATTTTTTTTTGATGTGACCCAAAAACTACGTTGAGATATCAGTAAAATATCAATACCTGTGTAAATTAGGCGGTCAATTTATATCAGCCTATGGGCGGCAAAAACCTTAATTCGGCCCTGGCTGCAATGTTTTAAAAATAATGAACTCAAACGGCAGGATATAAAACTCGTATATAATTTGTATTTTTATTATTAAGATCTGGATTCATGAATTCTATAAAATATAACTGCTGTAAAAAAATTGTTATAAGCTGATAATTACATTAGCATTGGGATAAAATGCAAAATGTTATCATGTATTAAAAGAAAACGATGTTTATTGTTAAAATAATCAACGGATTAGACAAAAAATCCGAATTTAAAACGAAATATTAAATAGCATGTTCAGTGTTCACTTGGATATTTTGTCTCGTATTCGACTGCATTGTATCATCAAATGATCAAAATAAAGCTTTAATTCATAACAATCGCAGTAGATATAATCATAAGCCTCCGTTTAAATGACTTCCTCCCCTTTTGTTTATTCATTTTTGTATAGGTATCTTATGAGAGGTGCATTTTTTAATATTATAATATTACATACTCTTTGATTGTGACCCGGCGATCTGGATAGGCAATCTAGCTACATTATTGTTGTGTGTTCGGGAAATTTTGTTTTTAAAATTAAAATGTACGAAATAATTCAGTTAGCTGAATCAGCAATATTTGATGTATTTTATTAGTATATTACACATTATGTTTTATGTTAATAAGAACAAAATCCAATGTACAGTATTATTAATATTGAATAAGGAATGTAATAATATTGTTAATATACTTTTAATTTACATTGCATATAAACATGGTAAATTTTAACAGTTTTATTAAAACGTCTGTAGTACCTACCAACCTACCAGGGTACGGTCGTGTTTTAATCTTAACAATTCACTACAAACATCTTTTAGCACCGCCACCACTTACGATGATTACGCAATTGTCGTGATTACAGTTGCACCTTTATCTAAAACTGATTGTCTCGGGTTTCTGTAAACATGCAGACATTTTACTAACGAGCACGATTTCCAATATTATGTTTTTATAAAACACATGTTAGTGTGATTTCAGAATAAAATATTATTCGTCATGTTGTCTAGGAAACAAAATAAAATATATTAAACAAACTGAATACCCACACCAGAAACACGCATCCTATAGTTGTTTTGAATTATTATGCTAACTACAATATTAATTCAAAATATTTATCAAGAGCGCTTAGAACAAAATTGTTTTATTTAATAGTAAAATAATTTATTTAAATTGGATTTAATTATACCCATGAAATTAAGGTAGACTAACTTTGCATTTGGGTTTATATTCAAAAAAATTGCCAGCTTATCCACAAGAAAATATTATAACTAGACAAATGCTTCTTTTAAGCCCCTCGTCATTATTTATGAACGAAGTTCATGAATAAAAAATGGCATTTGTATAACGTGCGGTTGACGTGTACGACATATCATTATACGGCTAATAATAATTGTTATAAAACAGAACATTAGTCGTACCTACGTTAGGTTTTTATTTTTTTATATAACCAGCGGATCCTTTATCATTAATAAACGTACATTGTCGGACGAAACGTAATACGCCTGTTATCTAGACAACATGATATGAAAAAAAATTCGATTAATATCGTCAGCTGTCACTCAATATTTTTCAAAACCACCAATCTAGAGAGATATCTAAATTAAATCATATTCAACGTCAAATTCGATTTGATTAAAATGAGTAACATATTATTGGCAGATTCCGAAACAATGAACTTTATTGTAAATCATAATTTAAATCAATAAATGCGTATTTCAAAATCGTATAGCAACATAGGGACATAAAAAATTATATTTTATTTACCCTCAATAAATTATATCGTTTTTGACGTGCCGATGTAATCCGTATATTTTGTATGAAACGGTATTGTTTTTAACATATAGTTTTTAATACTTACAGACAACGTGCATCCAAGAGGACACAATTTTCGTGTGAAATGATGGTGCGTCTGCTGATACCTCACATCGGTATTTTCCTGACAAGTGTCTTTTGACGTCTCGTAGTACCACTTGATTGGGTCCTGATTGGCTAACCTGATTTAACATACAATCAGGAAATCGATGTGATTAATTATGTGATAGAATACGTAAATAAATAATTGATGAATACTACTATTGTAATTACGTGCAAATGTAATACTACACAAGCCAACCATATATATTATGTCTTATCGTAAATTATTCGCTGTAAACGAAATAAATACAAAACATTTTCAAATCACAAAATATTTTACAAATTGTCAACGATTTTGATAATATTTTAAACTCGAAAAACAATAATTGTCGGAAATTTGAAAGGGCACTATAGGAGGAATTTACTTAATGCAATAGAAACACAATATATAAAATAAAAATTTAAGTATGCTAATTGAATATAAACTTTTAAGATGAATCGCCATGTATAAAATTAGAACAATACGCCAGCGTTGACAGGGAAAAAAACTTTAATAAGATTACGTAAGAAAAAATATAAATACCCATAAAGAATTCAAAACCTCCGTAAAAAGTACCATTTTTGTTCCAAGAAAACCATTTTATAAAAACAAAAAAAAAGTATTTACTTAAACTATATAATTAACTGTACGAATTAAATTGAAATTAGAAAAGTATAAGGTTACGTATTATGCAAATATAATATCACGATTGTTTTACATTTATAAAATAGCTTACATTATATTTTATTAAACGCTTAGAATAAAAGAGTATGGTTACGATACTCTTTCACTGCGGACTAATAAAAGTAATTACCTAAGACTGAATTGAAAATAAAATATTTGACATAATAGTAGCATAATAGTGTAATGCATGTACAACATTGTAAATAAGATATACTAAAAAATACTACAAAGCTGTTCATTTTGGAGATTAGCTGTAATTGAACAATTTACTACTATAATTGTTAAACTTAATTTTTACTGCAGAGTGCCGATTACGTCTTACATTTTCATAAAACTTTCGAATTGTTTGACTACAATTGCATAGTAATTATAGTTAGATTCAAACCAAAAAAATGTGTATCGCAGCATGACAAAAATTAACGATTATATCAACTAAATGTTACGTAGATTTCTGCCTGATGTAAAATATTATGTGATTTCTGTCTTTTACAGGGCATTTTTAACAATTTCTAAACACCGCATACAAAATAAACTGTAAATGTACTTGACCGAGTTATTTCACGTTTCAGTGCGCACCCCATAATATAAATATAATATAGGTATGACCCAGCTGGTATTCTCCATTGTAATGTTTGATCGTTCATTAACGTTTCGTATAATATAAATACAATAATTTATAATGGTATTCTGCGGAGTGTTTCCGAATGGTAAATGATAAATTTCCATTAGAGGTTTGATGTAAAAACGTAGCCGTTCGGGTTTGCATCCGACACACGTGTGCCGCTTTTAACGCAATAATAACGCGAGTAATCAAAGGGCAATACGACCTGTACTCTCGCAAACACACACGCATATGCACCTAAGCGTTGACCCAAATAATGATAGTATGCACAACGGCGTATCGTTCTTATCGTATTGCTATCGGTGCCGTAGCCAGAAAATGTATTTTTTTTGGTTCCGGGGTGGGGAACTTCATTTTTCTATCTAGTTACCATGTAGAGTGTAGTAGAAATACAAAAGTACCTACATACTTATCACACGTTACCAGCTACTTTATGACACCATTGTCCGTTGAAAAAAAAACCCGGGGGTGACACTTGCAGCTCACTGTGCACGCCAACGCCCCCCCCCCCTCTGGCTACTGCACTGATTGTTGTGTTTTCATTAATTGCAGGTGTGCACACTTACGTCCACGTTTATGCCGGGCCACGGGAACACTCTGGTATGCGGCAGTTCCTTCGGCACGTACCTGAAGAACTCCTGCCGACCTTTGTACCATTTGACCGTGTACAGCGGATCGGATTCCAGATCGTAGGTGCACGTCATCTTGGCCGAATCGCCAGACGCCACGGCCACGGGAACCGTTATGCTCATATTAGACAGACTGTCGCATTCTGAAACACAATGACCCACAACGATTAATAAAACACACACTCATTATATTATTCGATAAACATCGTCCCGTCATCAGTCCGGGATCGCGGTCATAATACGTCATATATTATTGATGTACCGTCGCCGAAACGAAATTATTATTTTTTTTTTTTTTTCATCAGTGGCCTTTTATATGCAACGGTTTCGGTCGTCCGAATTTGTGTATTCAGTGGCTATGGAGATTGGCAGGGTCATTCGATTTTAGTTTTTTTTTTCCTAAAAGGCTATTTATGTGCAAATATTTACGAAACCGTCGACCATTTTAGTGCAACAGAATCGAATACGATTTAAATTTATAAAATTTGTCCTATGATATAATGTATTCAACGTATAGAGTTTAAACATAATATAGTTCAAGTTAAACTTCCGTTTTGCGAGACATCAAGACAAAATGTATACGGACAATATTTGTCATGCATAAAATACGTGATACGTGAAATACTACACCAGACGTCCAAACATAGTACATAATATGATATTATTATCCTTTAAAACTAAAAATATATTAGTCTTCTGTCAGATGTAAAAAATAACACGAGGTTCATGATTGATAGCACTATAACATAATACATTAATACACCACTGATTCCCAATAATCGGAAAATAATATAATTTAATGTAGATTATTTTATCTCGAAAAAAATATAACCGAAAGTTGATTACATTCTTGTCTTGGAAAGTCACTGAATATGTAAGTTATTTTTAACTTTAAAAATATTTTAAAACTTCAGAACAAATTTCAAGTTTTCTGTATTCTCCGCAACTTGTCTGATGCCGATTTTTGGGAATGTATTATATTAAAAGTTTGACATGATTTGTTTGGGAAATATGTATTATTAAAAGTACAACTTTGTGAACTACAATTTTTTTCAAAATGTATAAAAATTAATATAAACAAATAAGGATGACACATTTTTTGATCATTCTTGAACAATATTAATTATAATGGTCAATGTTTACAAGCGAATATAACTCAATAGCTCAACCTTAACATAGCAAAATCAGTGTTTTCACAAAGCTAAATCCGTTTAAGACTTAATAACACTTTGACAAAGTACGAAACTAAATACACCATCAACGACTTGATTGATATAAAAATTGTAATTAAATAACAATATTATTAAAACCTTTAGGCTTTGGGAATGTAGGTCAACAAAATAAGGGCCATTAAACAATAATAATTGTATGATAGAAATTATATTGGACAGGTATTGTATATGTTATGATTTGCAACAGTTTTGTTGCAATAAGTTTCATGACGAAGTACCAAAACTTTAAGCACTATCGCAGTATTACAAAACGTAAGTAGAACTAAAACATGAAAACTCACGCTGTGTTAAAAACCGTATATCTGTGTTCATTAAACAGGTACAAACTACAAATTTGACGGTGGATTTCATTCTTAAATCATCCTGCAAAATTAAATTCCATTTCCTTTGTCAAATATACAAACGGTCTAATAGAAGTGTATCAAATTATGAATGGGAGTTCACTTATGTTCTACAACTTCTGGGGAATGCGAGCGACAACTACTCACGGCTGCAGTTATTTTGTAGACACAGTAAATGAATAATACGTTTCATATCTTATTTTGTTATTTAAAAAAAAAAACTCTGCAGGCTTCATAACTTGCATACAGTGTATCTGTACTTAACATCTGGCGTAAGAGCCATATGCTGCAATGAGAACTACTGTGATACTATAAACTTAAATAGCATTGAAATAATGTACATAAATGTCTACATTAATATACGTATAATATTATTATAATATTGTACATTATACATATATATTGTATATTATAGTATATACAGGAGTTAAATGTGTTTCATTTCAAAATGGAAAGTCATAAGTTCTCGTCATCCTGTCCATTCAAGGTCGTTGTTCTTATGAATTCCATTATCGTCACTGTTTTAATTATGGTGAATTATGTTCAATATAATATACAATATATTATACTACTATTTGATAATATCATGGCTTTGGCCACAATTTTGGAAGAGTGTCCTCTACTAATATACATAAAATGATCAAAATCATTTTTCGAAAAATATCATAAAATGTTATTTATTGTATAAAATATTCATGTATTGTATACTAATAATTTTTTTTAATTTTAGCATCGGTTTTTTCAAATTAATTTAAACAAAGTTCTACTTAAATTTAAAAAAAGTGTATGTGAACTAAATACGAGGATGATAAAAAAATTATGTAACGTATAATTTTAAACACAAATGATGGTATTATAATGTCATGAGATCATACAATTTAGCAGCTAATATAAAACGTAATACACGACTATTAATACAATTATTATTACAATTATTATTACTATTATTATACTCTAAGACGTGATTTCTAAAATTCATCCATTTTTATTTAGAAGCATCTTCACTCACTATTTCAAAACATTTTTAATAATTATTATTTATTTATTCTTATACTAATTTGAAAACAACAAAATGTAATTAAATTAACAAAATTTTTTTTTAAAATACAATTGATCAAATTTTATGATATTAAACGAAACAGTATTTTCATTTAATCATATAATAAATTTAAACTTATTTGAATTGGAAACATTTCACATATTTTGTAATTTATTTTAACTTATATTATTCGTGTAGAAGGCATTACAGAAGAAATTATTTAGATGTTAGGTATATTATACATTCCGTTTAGTATTTTACTAAGTGATGTTTAAAAACTTGAACATAATTTATTATTTTTCGTCGAGAGTACAATGTTAAATTTTACATGCAACAAATAAAAATATTAAATTTACTTTCAAATATTTAAGATAGTATTCTGCATATAGGGTCACATACATATTAAATAGTTTTACAGTAATTTGTACACACGTGACACGTATTATTTATGTAAGTATTCAATTTTTTTGTAAACTTAAATATTTTATTCTGATATTTGCTTATATAATATAACGTATACAATATGTATACATTTGCATAAGTTATTACCCTAAAGTTTACTTATATAGTTGTATAACACATGCAAATGTTTTCGTTTCATTAAAAAAAATATAAATTTAAATAATCGTATACATCTCACAATACAAGTGGAGAAAGTTCAATTATTTTAATAAATTGTTAGTCTTCGTCGAAAGCTTACCTAACTTGCCTACCTATAGGGTACAAAACGATTATTCTGTAAGAAATTTCTTTGAATTGTATGTTTTTGCGTAAAAGTGTATATTTGTTACTATTTTTTTTATTCTAAATTATTAAATTTTTTAATCTAAAAAAAATCATCCGTTTTATTTTTAAAATTTGATAAGTACATTTATCTTGTCAATACTAAGTATAAAATATACTTAATATTAAAACTAATAAAAAAATGTGTTAAAAATATAATCATGATTGCAAATGATTCATACGACCATATTATTTGCGGCAACAACGCGAAACGATTAATTCTAGTTTAATTTTTACCACAAAAGTTGTTCGATAAATTATTATTTTACAATTGTTTCAAACATCATCTGTGAACCATTATTATTAAAAAATCATAATATATACATATACGTATACACACAAACGTTCTACATGATAAATTATACATGAAATAGTAGGAATGTAAATAGTAGGTGTTAGGTATCTCAGTATAGCTGGTATAACTAAAAACATTTTACATTATATATGATTAATTATGATTTTCAACTAAATGCAGCAACTATTATATGTATTAAAAATAGTAATAATAATAAAACTCGGGTTTCGTTTTGAAAAATCAATTTTAAAAACGAACATTAATTAAACTGTAATAATAATACCATTTTTTTCAGACACAATCACTGGCGCGTTCCGACATAATAATTATTTATGAAAATAAATATTCTAAAGGCATATTTGTACACCGGTCCCTTTCAAATAAAAGTGATATCACGATATCATACTTTTTATATTTGTATCGTATTTTTTAATTTTTTAATGCATACCTATTACAATTAAATTTCAAATTTTTTTTTTTTTCGTTTTAATGAATACAATTTAATTTCGATAATTACAAGTATACGTTAATTCATGAATATCATCATTCATTATTGGGGTGAGATAAATGCGGATTTTTATTTTCAACGCATTTAACGTGGGTACCTGAATTCCCAGAGCGGTGCGTTATTCATCATATAGTAACATATTTTTATTATTATTATTATTTTCGTTAAATTCAAAGCGAAACTTATCAGTTATCAGACAAACGTATATTATATATCCTACAAATGTATGCAGAGTACCATCTCGCTTTAATGTACATAATACTATCATTGTTATATTTTAGTTGTGGAGCTATAATTAGAACACAACCAGCTAACCGTAAAAGCGTTATAAAATAGGTACGTTGTAATGTACGCAGAATCGATTTCTGCAGATACCGTAGTCAGTCCAACGAGGCTACAACAAATACTATTGCGGCAACAACACTATGTAACCGTACTTAAATTACCAGAACATGTCCGTGTAAACTATACGCGTACACACCTAAAATGCGGCTAAACGCCGCTTTTGTTCCGGAAAAACACCAATTTTCAAACAGCATAACAATAATATGTTTATCGATTTGGGAGAGAGGGAAAACACGTTTATAGTTTTTCGTCCACCGCACGGAATATTACAAACCGAACAATAACAACGATTAATAATTACAAAAATATAATAATAATAAATCCAAACTCGTCCGCGTTATGATTTGAAGGGGATTGCGGCGGTAAGCATAATATATTATATAATATATAATTTCTACATATAATGATATACAGTATATTATAATTCGATCAATGGTTTTAGAAGCAATAATAGATTGACAAACGAACAAAGCCGAAGCGCTTTAATTATTTAATATTATAATTTATAATGTGTGTGTATAGTGCGTCGTGATGTCCAATAATTTTGAAATCGATGACATATCATCATTTCGAAAAACAATTCTCGATAAAAATACTAAG